ACGAAAACGTTCCCCAAGAAGGCAGACGATTGCAAGGTCTGCAATTCTACTGTCGAACAAGCAGATTCTGCTTTCGAATGTAACTTTTGTAAGCAATGGGTACATTGTAGATGTGACACCGGAGTACCAAAGGTATATTACGATTTTATGCGTAAGAACCCATGCCCATGGTTCTGGTACATTTGCCCAAGTTGCCGTCCTAATGCAGCCTCGTGTAGTTCCTCGAAAGCTACAGATGTCATAGAGATATCAGGAAAAAACGTGAAACGTTTCACTCCCACCAACTCAGAAAACAGCACAATTGCGTGTAAATCGGGGATACCAAAATCCACACCGGTTATACTTGCAATTCCTGCCATAACTGCCCCAGACACAGAGGTTGAAGCACCAAGGGTACCTGTCGCCGGGAAAAGACCCTTACCGTCCACCAGTAAAAGTGGCCACAGCACTGCGACACATAATAATACCCAGTTGCACCAGATGAAACAAAACGGTCTTAAGGGGGATGACAAATGTGCGAGGACCGAACCTAAATCCACGGTCAGTCGATCAAACTGCGTTATCCTCTTTAATGTACCAGACTGTAGCAGTAGTCTGCTGGAAAACAGGGCCCTGTTTGATCAGGAACAGTGGTCCAACTTATGTAGCACACTGGGTCTGGACATCCAACCAGTAAAACTGTGCAGATTGTATAAGGGCACTGCTGCTCCTCAAGGCAAACCATCCCCACTGAGGGTAACACTAGGCTCTGCCGAAGATGCCGAAAAAGTTTTATTGACTTCCCAAGTCCTTTCTATAGGGAGGACCTGCAATATACGTGTTAGGCCAGATAGGCCATGGAAGGAAAGACAGATGGCGAGGGAGTCACCAGAGCTTATTCCTTCTGCCTCCATGGTTGTTCACGGCATTCCTGAACTGGAAACTGGGAACGCTTGTGAGAAGCACTGTCACGATGTCCAGCAATGGAGATGGTTGGCATCCCAGATGGGTCTGGGAAGTTCAGGGGCTGTCTCTATTTTTAGACTGCCTCGACCCACTCACCTAATGTCAATTAACACCCCACATCTGTTAGCTGTTAAGTTTAGCTCCCGAGACCACTTGACTACTGCTCTCCAGAGATGGTACGAGACCAAAGACAAGGTCACCAGACACATTCGCTGCTGCGAGAGCCGGCCTCGTACCCAAAGGAGAGAGCAAAACGTTGTCATAGAACATCCCCAACCCCTAGTCACAATACAGCGGTGCAGCACGGACGATGATAGCCAGTGCCATCCAAGTGCTCCGATTGAATCAGAAGAAAAAAACTCCAACAGGCCGGTTCCCGGGGAATCGGCCAACTAGTTCGTAGGATAACTCCTCAACCGACAGCCCACATCAAGTCAACCACCCCCCAATACGGGGACGTGGTGAGACTGACTACCAGTTGCCTGTACAGTAATGTGAGAGGTCTAAGAGGCAAAATAGCTGAACTTAGATACCTACAATCACAGCTGAACTCCAAAATCATAATACTGACGGAAACCTGGCTAACCCCTACGGTGGCAGACAGCGAAGTCAGTATAAATGATATGGTCCTTGTCAGGCGAGATAGGGATCTGAAAGAAGGAGGTGGAGTCGCCATATACGTCGACAAACAGCTCAGATGTGTCCATGCAATCGACCCTCCCCTCATTGAGCTCCCTGACTCCATATGGTGCCATTTCACCGTTGGGTACTGTAAGTATCTAGTGGGCAGCATTTACAGATCACCTTCATGTGGAGCAGACCACAACCAGGTACTGCTGAATGCAATTTCAGCGACACATGACCTGGGTTATGATCAAATTGTCATAGCTGGAGACTTCAATGCCCCATCTCTTAACTTGATGACGGGATGTGCCCAGGACAGATTTGATCGAAATCTGCTGCATACCATCACAAAGGCCGGATTCACCGAAAATGTCAGAATGGATACTAGATGGGGCCCAGATGGGAAGTCTTCTAGACTGGATTACGTGCTCACTAGTGACCAGCTACTAGTGGAAAACGTTCAGATCACGACTCCCATAGGTAGTAGTGACCATGCGGTCATAACATTCGACATAGTCCTCCGCGAGCGTTTACAGTGGGACAATACACAGCCCTATCTGTGTTATAACAAAGCCAATTACACCGAAATGCGAAGACTTTTGTCTGAAGCAAATTGGCCAAAAAATTGGACAGAGCTTACAGTAGAAGAACACTGGAGAGTGGTAAAGGAGATCATTCACCAGGCGATCTCAGACACTGTTCCTTTGGTCACACCTAAAGCTAGAAAGCAACGTTCATGGCTAAAAAGGGGGACACAACGCCTTCTACAGGCGAAGCGAAAAGCCTGGTTTGCGTGGCGAGTATCGCAGAGTCAACCCGAACATGAAGAGTACCTCGAACTCAGGAATCGGTGTAACATACGAGTCCGGAGTGATAGAAGGACATTTCAGAGAAACCTCGCCAATAAGCTTCTCGTGAACCCCAAAAGCCTATACAGGTTTATGTCTGAAAGAAAACCGACCAACCAGGGAGCTTGCAATATAGTGGGTTCTGATGGGAAATCTCTTACTAGTCTTGAAATGGCAGAGACATTCAGTCTAGCCTTTCACAGGCAACTGAACAGTAACGAGGATTTTACCCTCACAAAACATCAAGATTACAGTGCAAGACCAACGTGCGAAAACCTGCTGGGTACATTTCAAATTACCCCGGCTATGGTACTCATAAAATTGGGAAAGTTGGCTTCGGGAAAGTCTGCAGGTTGCGACGACATAAGACCATCCGTCCTGAAGCAGTGTTCAGAAAGTCTCTGCCAACCCCTAAGTGATCTGTTTCAACACTCCTTTGATGTAGGGAAACTTCCATGTGAATGGAAACGAGCCATCCTATCCCCTATCTTCAAGGGTGGTGACCGGCAGAACGCGACCAGTTACAGACCAGTTGCGCTACTCCCAGTGATATCGAAGATATTCGAAAGTCTCATTGACGACCACATGAGAAAATACTTCGACGGGACTAACCTACTCCATGAAGCACAGCATGGTTTCAGGAAGGGAAGATCCTGTGTGACGAATCTTCTACTAGCTTGGAACGATTGGACACTATCCTGGGATGTAAAGATACCAGTCCATGTGATCTTTCTCGACTTTGCGAAAGCATTCGACACAGTTCACCATGGTCTGCTCCTTCACAAAATAAGCAAAGCGGGTGTTTCTGGAGCACTTCTCGCATGGCTGGAAGATTATTTAGGCGAGAGAGAATTCTGCACCAAAGTCAACCGCATCCGATCATCCTGGCACACCTCGGCATCAGGGGTTCCTCAGGGTTCTATCTTAGGGCCGTTGATGTTTTTGATTTTTATCAACGACCTGCCCTGTCAACTGAATTGCTCTGCGCTTCTTTACGCTGACGACGTAAAGATTTGGAGAGCAATAAACTCATCGGAAGACTCCGACAGATTGCAGGCTGACCTGCAAACGCTGGGGGACTGGGCTCTGGCTAACGGAATGCCTTTCAACTTAAAGAAGTGCAAAGTAGTGCAACTTCATTCCGGCAGGTCACAGAGTGCAAATTACACCCTTGGTGGCCAGAACTTGAGTTGTGTGCCATCAGAACGCGATCTAGGCCTTATTTTAACAGAAAAGCTAGACACCAGTGTAAATTACACGAGGGACGTCGCCAAAGCTTACGGCACTTTACACTTTATGCATAGGCAACTGGGAGCTCTTACTCCTGAACTATTCCTAACGTTGTATACGACATACGTGAGGCCACTCCTTGAGGTGCATAATATCATTGCTCCTCCGCTACTCAAAAGGGATGCTAACATGCTAGAAAGTGTCCAGAGACGAGCGACAAAATGGGTGATCGGCCTCCGCAACAAATCATATGAGGAGAGACTGAAGAAATTAAGTCTTTTCACACTTAGTTACCGTAGTCACAGGGGAGACCTCATCACCGTCTATAAGATCCTAAATGACCAGGCCCATCCTAACAAGAGCATCCTGCCATTAAGTGATTATAGGCTTCCACGAGGTAACCCGCTAAGGATAGCACACCAGAGACCAAGGACTCGAGTGCGTTCACATTTCTTCTCGCTTCGAGTTTGCCGTCTCTGGAACGCTTTACCGGCGGCCGTAACTACAGCTCCATCTGTGGAGATTTTTAAGCGGAAGCTGGACAATCATGCAGAAATGCATGGTTTGTGTCTCAATGGCTTACCCTCTTAAAATTTGAAATCACATTGTCAATGGATAAGCATACAAGCTAAATCTTCACGACCCGTCCTGTCTTCTCCCACTGTACCGACTACTCTATCTTTCTTTCTTTATTATTTCACTTATCTCAACCTATATTATCTACACTACAACCTATTATTATCATTATCATTATTATTATTATTACTCTACTTTTATGACTATACCGAATGACCGACGGGTGTTAGGTCAAACTCCATTCACGGCAGCAGCTGAGTCCTAACATACTGCACACTACAAACCACAATCTTGACCAATCCTCGCATCACTCCTCCTGGAGTCTACCAGAGCTAAAGCAGTCGAGTGGCGGGATTTACTACGCATAAGTTCACCGAAGATCTGGAACCTCTACCTTAAAATCAAGAAGCGAGCTCAAAGAAATCACTGGTTTATACTAGCTCGTAATCAGGATATTGGATATTGGATATTGAAGAATGCGTCAAGAAATCAAATATATTGGGCATTGAAAGGAGTATTTGCGGAAATTATCTGAAGTCGTTCTTATTCTCTAAGATTAGGCTGTTTATCTTGGATCGGTGTGCAGACCTTAACCGGGAGTGTGAGGTGTTAGCTGACACTGTATGTGGACTTACTCGATATGTAAAGCCTTGGAAGACTCTGTCGTCAACCGATGAGTGAATAGATTATTCTCATAATATTGCAACAATTATAGATCTAATCATGTCATGACTCCAAAGTGTGCCAAGAGGATGAAATAAAAACAAGTTAGAATTCTGTGAATAATCACTAATTTCAACAAGAATAATAAATCGTGTGAGATAATGATATTTCATTTGTTATAGTTACTGAAAGACTAGTGACAAAGCGTCTGTATGTTACGCGTTTATTCAAAGTGATGGAACCAAGCCTATCAGAATTGCCTATTACGGAATATCAATTTATAAAGACTATTGGGAAAGGATCCTATGGAGAAGTTTGGCTGTGTAGGCATAATGTTGACAGGAAGCATGTAATCTAGTTGTTTAAGGTTTTTATAATAAATAAAAGTATGTTATTAAGAAAATAGATGTGACGAAATCTTCTGACAAGGAAAGGAAGGCGGCCAAGCTTGAGTGCAAACTCCTTTCTGAATTTAAACATCCTAACATAGTGCAATACAAAGCCTCCTTCGAATATCAAGGTTTTTTGTATATTGCAATGGGATTTTGTGAAGGCGGTGATTTATATACAAGACTAAGGATGAGAAACGGAAGCCTTCTACCTGAACGTCTTTTAGTTGAGTGGTTTGTTCAGCTGGCTATCGCTCTGCAAGTAGGCTGAATCACTGATATTTAAGTAGTATTTTCTAGTATATGCACGAAAGAAATGTTTTGCATAGAGACTTGAAAACCCGAAATATATTCCTAACACGTACAAATATAGTGAAACTTGGTGATCTTGGGATAGCCAGGTGAGAATAAAATTGCTCGACTTCTCAACTATAGGGTGCTAGAGTCCTCCAGTTCTATGGCCACAACACTGATTGGGACTCCGTATTATATGTCTCCAGAGCTTTTTGCCAACAAGC